ATTCAGCTTTAAAGTTAAATCTGCCTAAAATAACTTTTACTTATTTTTCAAGGGGTGCTCTGTAGCCCTGTAGACATAATTAAACTTTCACCTTCTTAGAAATCGGTGAACAAAATTACAGGCTAAATTTTGGAAAATCAAGAAAAATCTCTGATATTCCTTCTCAAAACTGAAGACACTAATTGAGAATATGACTCATCACAGCTTTATGTCAGTATAAATATCATTGATTTCTTTGGAACTACATTAGCATGAAACAGATGTAGTGTGTTGCAGTGGATAAGACAGGAGTTTATGGCACAAGGAGTTTATGGCACAATTATGCTACTTCTACTAAAACAAATGATTGCAGCAGATATTCCTTGGCTCCGTTTATTCACAGTTGACTGTGATACCTTTCTTGTAAAAGCTCTGCTGTTTTGTTTGGCTTTGTCTAAACAAATGAAGTTCTGCAAAGCAACAATATGCATAAGAAATATCTGTTCTGAATCTTAGTAGGAAAGAGAATTTTACTTGAGGAATTCTATTTAGCAGTGTTTTGGGGGTGGAAAGGTAAAGAAAAGCCCAAACTAATGCCAAAAATATCCAGTTTCATTCATAACAATAGAACAGAAGTTTATTTCTTCTTTAGATTTTGGTTACTTTTTCATTTCATTGTATATGAAAAGATTTGGTAGGATATAGTTGTTTTTGCATACTTTCTGTGTCATTCTTAAACCCTTTCCAAGGTTTAGACTGGGCAGCATTTAGTTCATGATTCATTCAAAAGTTTGCTAGCAAATGGTTTTTGGTTTTCTGTTTTGAATATCTCCAAGCAGGACAGTTTTAAGAGAAGAGTTCACTTGTTTGTTCTGAAGAATGCCTTTTTACAAGGTGCAGTTTGAGTGATTGGGTTTGTACCTTTTCCAACATTTAAAGCCAGTAAACTGTTCCAAGATCAAAAAGTGGAAAAGAAAGAAGTGGCCATGCATTCTGACAGGGCATTTGTGTGGAAACCAGGATATTTGTGCTTGGCATTTGGTGTCTGGGGTGGTCTTATTTGCTTTTAGTTTTCTCTGTGTGTGTGGGTTTTTTGTGTGTAGAGGGGAGATTTTAGAATTGTCTGCTTGAGTTGATCTTGGAGGGGAGATGAGCACTATCAGAAAATTAATAACTGTCACTTTGCTGTTTACCAAGCTTTTTCCCAATAAAGGGCTTAAGAAAAAGAAGATGCATGAGATAACTTTGCTACAAAGGTAACTTGTCAGGTCCTGGATGCATCAACAAAAAAGGGTTAAATATGCCATATAGGAAAGATGCATTGTTTGCTCTCTTTAACTTTCTGGCTTGATTTTGAAGGCCATTTAAAAACTCCTAAGCTTCTTTGCCTTATAAAAGTTTGAGGTCTTTCTTGGAGAAATTTCTGAGCTGAAAACATCCTATAATTAAGGATAGCCTCAACCTTAAGTGAACTGCCTCTGCAGGAAGTTTTCACATTCAGGCTGTGTTTGAGGACATTGTTTAGGAAACAGATCTGTAAGCCTCTGCCAGAAAGAGAGAAAAAATCCAGCAACACTCATTTCCTTAAACAGACTTTTAACAGGGTTTTTTAGCAGTGTGATGGGCATAGAAAGAAGAGTTGAACTAGGAAAAGAATAATTCAGGAAAAATAATAGGTGTACTCTGAAACAGAAATTTCCATTTCCTGCAACAAAACCAGATCTTTGTGAGAACCTTGAAGCCTTTCTGCTTTGATTTTTCTTTCATTAAAATAAAACTTTCATGTCTCTGCAAAAAAACATCACTTTTTGCAAACTAATAAAATGAGAGATTTCAGCAGGAATACAAAAATTCAAGTTAAAGAAATAAACATAGTCAACTACGGAGAATTAGTACATTAAGCACTTTGAACCCAAATGTACTTTACTTTCTTTTGTGAATTAGGTTTTTTCATGTTTTTCAACTGTTTTCTTTCATGTTATTACTGGATATAAATGCTTAGACTACTTGACAATATATTTTGAATACAAATCCAGTACTATCTCCCTATTACAAAAATAGAAGAATTCATAAAATATTTCTAAGGAAATTTCTGATACCTTATTGACCTAATCAGTAGCAAACATTCACAGCCAAGATCACTGAACAGAAAAGGCTTAGATTGATGAAAAAAGTGTTGTGATAATTTTTAATATTAAGCAGTCATGTAAATAAAAATTAAACAAAATAAATTAAGTGGATAATTTATTTGGTTGATTTGTTGGGATTTTTTCTCCCTTTTTTAAGTAGGTTAACTTGGTTTTGTTAATTGTCTTCACAAGTATCTTCACTTTTCCCCCTTATTTTCACTTTTGTTTTATATAAGTGCAGAGGAATAATCTGAATGGCTGCTTTAAGGGTTTTGCCGTCACACTCAGAGACATGAACTTCACTCAAGTTTGACAAGTCCTCATAGACAGACACTCCAGCCATGAACACATCAAAGGAATGTTCCTTACACATTGAATTTGAAAATTCCATGAACTTTCTGATCTCCTACCAACACACCTTTCACTCTAGAATCAGTAGCAGTAGTGCTTTGTGGTGCTCAAAAATTGCTCAGCAATGGTGTTTCTTCCTCTGCTCAAATCAGAGGTTTATACCATTGGTACATCTCACCATTAGCCATCTGCTATTAAATGTATCTTTTACAGGTTCAGATGATGCCCATTACACACATATAATCTCCCTGAGAAAGCTGTGAAAATGCTCTTCTCTTAGTGCCCTCTAACCTTGACATCACAATGCCATAGCTTAAACCCCATCTGGGAGCCCATCCCCACACAGCCGCTTGTTCATTCCCCAGCCAGTTGGATCAGGGAGAGAATTGGAAGGGCAGAAAAGCTAGAAAACTTGTGGATTGAGATAAGAGAGTTAAACAGGAAAAGCAACAGCTGTGTAAGCGAGCAAAGGAAACCACAGAGTCCATTCCCCACTTCCCACAGCAGCCACGTTCAGCCACATCCAGGTGCATTGGGTCTGGCTTAGATGAAAGCAGTTTTTCCATAGCAACCTCACAGTGCTCTGAGGGACTGATGGTGTCTCCACCCACCAAACCACACCCTCTGGATAGATCTCTGGGCATACTTGGAACTGTAAATTACACTGCTGAGGCAGGAGCTCGAGATGACGTAAAGGTGCTGCTATCGTCTGAGTGCTGCCTCAGACCTAGGGGAAGGTGCACTGTGAGAATTTGCACCTGAATTGCTCACCTCTCTTGTACACTTTTGCTATTAATATTGTTACTGCTATTCTTTGTTTTCTTATCTCATTGCTGGTTCCAGTAAACTGCTCTTATCTCAACCCGTGATCTTTACCTCTTGTGCCTCCAATTCTCTCCAGCCCTATGCAGGGGAGAGAGGGATGAGAACATGAAATTGGAGAATACATTCCTAAACCACAACACTGACACATTGAGGTATTCAGTGTTATGTTAGGATGAATAGCCAAAAATATATGTCATATATGCAAAAATGCAGAAGCATTAACACTTATTTAAGATTCCTGAATTCATACCTTCTTGCAAATGTTTGGGGTTTTTTTTTGTTTGTTTGGGTTTTTTGGGGTTTTTTTTCCTTTGTTGTTGTGGGTTTTTTTTTTTTTTTTGGTTGAAACATATTTCATAAAACTATGATTTATATAACATTACCTCTTGCAGCCCAGTGTGTTTAGGAATAAAAAAAATTATTGAGAAGTTGAGCAGGTAGATTCTATTTTCTTTACTTTTCTACATTTAGAAAAGTCTTTGAGATTCAATTTTTTCCCTCTCTGGATCATCTTTATCAAGATATCCCCAAAAAGTGACCATAATTAATTTACAAATATTTTCTTTCTCTTTGTAGGAATGTTTAATGACCATTTAACTTATCCTTTGAGATAAAAAAATACATACAGAAGAATCCTATCCTTTATGTTACTGAATAAGACATGCCTATAGATTAATCCAGTTTGGGGTGCTTGATTGTTCAATTAAATTAGATGCAGAATAGGAAAAAGCAAATTGAATTATTGTGCCTTTACCCATCTGTACCACTCAGCCATCCCACTTAAAGGAGCAGAGAATCATGCATGGAAAAAGAAGCATTTTTCTTGATGGTGGACCCTTATCCATAGAGAAAAAGGGACATCCCTTGTCACTGAATTTTTGCTCTGGATTAGTTAACCTGGCTTCTACAGGGTCAGAGCTAAACTACAGGGGTTCTCGCAGCAGCTGTGAAATTGCTAAATCCTCCCTCCTCCCAGCCCACTTGCTTCATTACCTTCACTGAAAATCATTGCAACTAATGAGCCTTTTTGTCCTGGCCATTTTCCAGTTGGTCATATTTGCTGGTAAAGAGGTGGTAGCTGGGATGGTTCCCCTTCTGGCTGTCTCTTGCTTCGCTGCCCCACTCAAGGCCTTCCTTTCTGGTGGTAACAGCCTTCTGCAAGAATACTTGCCACTCTTTCTGCAGTATTGCTACAGGCCTATCTGTTAAATCTTAAATACTAATGAATCATTAAAAAGGGTATTAACATATTTGCTGGCCCTTTATGTGTGCCTTATTCTTCAGAGTTTTACAGCAATTTCTATTAAAAACCTCATTACAGAGATTATTGTGACATGCTTTGAAACAGCAACATTCATTACATATTATCTATGTATTGGAATTTGGGAAATTAATGCACCAGGAAATGAAATGACTCACCCAGGGTCTCTGAAGATGTATGTTCAACTCATGATTAAAATCCAAGCTTTAGATCTGCTTTGTGTTTGCTGCACAATCTTTTTTGCTGTTTCTCTTTTTTTCTTTAAACCACATCAGTTTTTCATTTAGATGGAAAATTCCATTGTGCTGCTTTTGTTGTAAAAAAATTACTGGCATTTAGCCAATTATTTTAGTTAAATGTGGCTTGTCTGTGGGCATTCCCTCCCTCTACTTGGGGGTTCAAAGCATGGAGAGAAATGGGATAACTGGGAAAGAAGAGCCAGGCTGTGGGGAAGGATGGGCAGAGAAATGGAGAGGCAGAGACCAAAGAACTGCTCAGGTGATGGAGTGACTGTGAGATGTGCTGCTGCTGTTGTGAGTCTTGCATCCACAAATGGTCAGTGTGACATGGATTTTCCAGTCTTTCAGTTTGGGTGGGGTAGGGAGAAAAGAGGGTTAGAGGTAAGGGAGGAATGAAGAGAGGCTGTGAGGCAGCTGCACCTTGGGTTTTTCCATCCATTACCTGCTCTGGTGTGTCCACTGCCCAGGTGGGTAGTGTGGAGATGGTAGATATTTATTTTCACAGGCTACATCTTCTGTAAAAATACGATGCTTTATGTGTCTGCTTCCAAACTGTATGAGTGGAATCAACTCTCACAGTGCCTACAGCTTTCTGATTTGTGTCTTGCAGACGTGTTGCCCTTGTCTCTCCAGGGGACTTGTACTGGTGTCCAGAGGGGACTTCAATTGCAGCCTTTAGGGGGGAGACCCAGCAATGCCCTGGCTACAGGGTATTTTTTTAGCAGGTATGATGAGGGATCCTGTCCTTGGGCCCAGCTGCCCAAGAATTCTTGACATTTTCAGTAATTTTGTCTGTTGTAGAGCAAATAAATGTCCTTAGACATCAACATATCATCAATACTTAGTCATCATAAGGAGTTAGAAATTTATTTCTTAACTTCTGTTTTCCTTTCAATGCCAGATGGAGAGAAATGAACAAGAAATTCAGAGCAATAAAATTGCAATTTTCTACACAGACAGATAAGCGAAGAATAATTTTCATTTAAGGGAATATGTCTTCATTTTGGAGATGTCCTGAATGTATCTTAGCTTTGGTTTGAGAAAACAGATGTGTGAAAAAATTCATTTGTAATAATAATCGTAAAGAAATTAACATATGCTTATATTTTTCATTCCACTTTAGATTTTGTGGAACACCACTCATCTGTAAAGTACTATATGCGCATGTATTATTGCATAAAGAATAATATTCAGGTTAGAGATGTACTTTCTTTTTTATTTTTTTTTTTTTTGCCTCTTCTGCATCTGCAGTGTGAGAACTGCTAGCCAGAAGGTGAAAATTTAAAGATGGAATCCATATAGTTCCAGTGCAGCAGATTTAAAGGCTGTAATGCCACAGAGCATCCAGGAATCTGACCAATTTATCTCATAAATCCTTTCAAATTCAAAATCTGCAGTATAGTATCTGAAACTTCCAGTTTCCTGCTTTTCTTATCAGTAATGCTTCTGTGTTTCCTGAGACAAGCTAAATATAAGTTAATCTTTTGATCTGTTTGAAAAGATAACTTTGTCATGCAAATAAGACTCGGTCTCCAGTTCAATTCTCTTCCATTTAGATTTTTATGCTGAGCATCAGAGGGACCACTGACTATCTAGGTGTACTTTGTGAATCCAGATTTTGGATTGTCCATGACAATTTCAATTGCTTAATTAAAATGTAAGTAAGTAATACTCTTAGGAAACAGAAAGCTACTCAAAAAAATTGTGTCCTCTCCAAGACAGGACAGGACAGGTCCAAGACAAGAATTCTTATGTTCAAGACTTTCTTAATCCTCAAACCTGCACTTCTGTGAAGTTCCAGTACTTGAGGAAATTCCCAAAATACTGAAGTAACTGCAATAAAAACAATACACAAATGAAGAAACAAAGTCAGTAACAATTTTAATGAGGGGGTGGTTGTGTTAAAAATAATTTGGAAAATTAAGCTCAGGCTTTTAATAAAATATTTTGCATAAAATATTTTTCTGTACTTAAACAATTTTTTTTATTTGTAACATATCTGGTGAATCTGTGAGTGTGGTGAGGCACAGGAGTAGTTCTCCCTGAAAAGTTGTGGATGTCCCATCCCTGTAAACGTTCAAAGACAGGTTGGATGGGGCTCTGAGCAACCTGGTCTATTGGAAGGTGTTCCCGCCCATGGCAAGTGGGTCGGAACTAGATGGTCTTTAAGGTCCCTTCCAGCCCAAACCATTGTATGATTCTGTGATTCTATGGTTCTATTAATTCAAAGTATACCACTTCCTCATAAAACAAAACCCTGTTTAGAGGAATACAGTATCTGCAACAATTTAATTTACCTGCAACAGTGAACATGATTTCCCACACAGGGGAAAATAGAAAATCACTAGAAAAAGCAAATAAAATCACAAGGAAAGAAAAAGGAAAAAAAAAGTCAAGGTTTATTGACATCTCACACTGAAACTCAGATTTCTTCTTCCTCCCAGGGTTGCTCTCTGTAAGAAGAAAATTTTTAAAATACTTGAAATTTCTGTGAAAATTTTTTCAGATAACAGGAAGACAAGAATTATGTCAGCTTAAGAGATTAAGAAGAGTATAAGTTTTTTTTCTAAATTTTGACAAGACGACACATTACTAATAATATAAGTATAATTACTAATTTATATAAGTATATTAACTTTTATTTATTTCTAAAAATAAGTAAATTCGGGTAGTACAGTTTTTTGAGTTAAAAAGTTGTATAGAGTAGAATTTTCTTGTTCATCATTTGGTGGATTCTCTTTGTTGGTAAGGTGAAGTAGAAATAAGTGCCCTGTAAGAATGTGAAATTACAGTGGCAAAAGGGAGTAATTGGAAAAATTGAAAATCATAGAGTCATTTATGTTGGAAAAGAACTGTATGTTGTATCATCCTAAAAGATGCCTAGTGTTATATAGATACATATATTCACATTCTGATTCCAGTCAGATTGTTGCATTGTGGAAGATGTTTTGAGCAGCTGTGGTGACGAGTCCTTCTCTAGCTTGTGTAGGCTATTATTCACCTGAAATATTAACTTCTGTTGTCAGCTTTTGTTCAAATTACACTTATTTATTCATTAGAGAATTTTAATGGGTTGATTCAAGCTTACTTTTGACTTCAAATTAGTCATATTGTTCCAATTTCAAGCAGCTCCATAAAAATGTGGTTTGCCAAAGTGCAAAAATACTTGCAGCTGTCCCAGGAAAAATCCATTAAAAATGTAAGAGTGAGGCTTGTTTTGACAAATTTCAACATGAGTCATGAATACTAAGGATTCTTACACCTTTGAACATGAATTTTCAAGCTGCATAATTTTGATCCCAAAATAATACCTCATGACATATTATCACAAATAAATCCTCAGACCTCAAGATGTTACTTTTTATAACTAGTCACCGACTTATGACCTATAGAAACTGTCTTATCTTCTCTTTAGATGTTTTTAATCCCTGAATAATAGATAAAGGTTGAACTGTGGTGTCTGAAAAAAACCAGTTCATTTTGGATACATAGCATGGAAAAATTCTGGTTTTTTTCGGTGATAAGCCCTGAAGACCCCTGCTTCATCAGTTATTATAGTATCCAAGCATATTGCAATATATTTATTGGTAATGAAAACTTTATTCTGAGATTGAATTTGGTGGAAATTTAGACAACTTCTGATGCAACTGCACTGCATCAGAACTCCATCTTGGTGTTTCTCAGAATGTGAAAGTAAAAAGCACATGGTGTTTTTCATATTCCAAAAGTGAAAATATCCTGTTAGGGGGGCACTAGATGTACAGAGGTTGAATAAAATCATGTCACACTGTAGTCACTGGTTCCATGTTCTTTGAAAGGGACTACACAGTTCTTTTTATTATTGGCTTGCAGCTTTGTGGAAATAAGGTTGCTTTCTTATTCTTAGTTAGAATCTTTTGGTTTTTTATCATATTCACAATAGATATAATCAAAATTCACTAGTGGGGCTTGGATAAATTTTAACACTTCAGCGACATTCACAAATTAAAAGTAATAATAATTTGTAGGTTTTGGGGTTTTTTCCAGCAAACTTTTTTTTTTGCAGTGCTTTGCTTGTAGTGCTACCAAAATTTTTTCTGAGTTTCTCTATGAATTTAATTTTCAGTTATGTTAATACTGAAACTGAATTTCTGTGTGTGCTTTAGCCAACATGGAAGCATAGTTTGCAGATTCATCTGCTAAGCTTCTGAGAAAGTGAAAATGCAGTGCATATATCCAAAAAAAAAGCCGTGATAATCCAGACATCCCGGATGAAACTTAATGTAACTCTTAGGGAAAACACAGCTGTCTTGAATCCAATCTATGGCATACATACCAAAGACAAATACAATAGAAGAATTTATTTTGAAAATAATGCTCTTCATCGAGAGCACTTTGGAAGATCATGGTCTTTACTATAACCAACATTTTCTCCATTGTAACTAATCCAGAAGAAATTTTGAAAAAGGTAATAGAAATAACTCAGGTTATAAAAGATCTTATTTTTTAAAAATTTCAGATATATTCAAGACAGAAATCTATGCCAATTCAGGGAGCATCTGGTATTGCAACTTTTTCTTTAAAAGATTTTTTTTTTTAAAATGGAAAAGGGAAGAAGGAGAGAAAAAGATCTAACTATTCCCATGTACTTTCTGTGTACAGAAAGTGTACTTTCCAAAAACCCTGTAATTACCTGAGCGCTCATCCCATTTGGTTTCCATTTCAGTCCCATGACTAAGAGGAGAAAGAACTCTTTTCTAGTAATTTTCCATGCATGCCTAACCAACATGGGTCAACTGAAAACTGAAAACTTAGAACAATCATGTACATATGGCAGAATAGCATTCAAAAATAAGAAATTGGTCTTCTTGTTTTGTTGATTTCTTAGTCACAATGTAGAAAAATCATACTCCTCTTTCCCATTCCCCTGAGTGAAAATAGATGCTGTTCAACATTTGATTATATTTCCCAGCTAGGAAATAAAAGATCAAAAGGAAATTTCAGTTCCTAGCATTTGAAAGATGGGAAAACAGATGTCTTATTTGGTTCAATCCCACCTGACTTCTGGCAGTGCAAAGCCCTTATACAAAATGGGTCCGTTTTCTATATAATTCTGGAAGTTAGATGCAGTAGAGATCTGGAAGTTCTTGTAGTCCTTTTTCTGGCCAAGGCAGCAGTGATACCAGCGGTTTGTTCCTGGATGTCTCTGCTAGAGTTAATCTGAAATGATGCAAGAAACAAGGCAGTCACCTTCATGTGCAATGATCCTCTTCTGTCCAGCACCTCTGCTAGGCAATCACCTTACAGATTTGAGTACCCTGTAAACCACAAAAAAAGTGGATTTATACCAGAGGTAAGTTTTTTGGAAATGATTCTATAGCATTCAGTGTTCTCAGTGCGTGGGATTTCTCTTTGGTTTGAGCACACTAAAAATGAAACCTTAATCAACAGAAGACCCTTCATGTTTCAAGTATGTATATTTAAAATCAACTACAAAGGTAGACAATAATTTTGAATATAAATGAATTCTTTTACATTTAAAGAATCAAGATTTATGAGTACAATCTTGTTCAGCTCCTGGTAGATATGTATAAACATGATCTGATCTGAGGAAAAAATGAAGTGTATTGCCAGCAAAGATAAATATTACAGCTTTAATCTACACTGCAAATTAAATATGTTATTAAAACCAGACTCTAGTGAATGTATTTATTTATGAAGTAGTCATAGTAGAACAGTTTTCAGTCAGACTTCATCTTTACCAGCATCTTTGTCAGTACCAAGTATTTTAACTCCTGGATGACATGTTGCTGAGACTAAATAAACAGTAAACTTCACATACATGTAGAGAGAATTTTAGCTGGTTACTGACACCAGATACATAGTTTTTCATGTCTTCCAAACTGTAAAATTAGGACATTGATGTTTATCTTTAAAGTGGTGGGGGTTTGTTTTGTTTTGTTTTGTTTTGTTTTTTTTTTTCCTTTCTGCACCACGATAAGAGTATTGAGAAAGCTGAGTGTTAGTCTCATATTTTACTGAATATGAATCTTGTTGTAAAAGATTCACATAAGACATAATGGGGGTCCTGGTATAGTAAGTGCTTTTTAAGATATCTTTTTTTCATGGAATAAAGAAATCTGGCCAACATACAAGAATGATAATTTTATAGGTAATTAAACTTTTTTTTCCAATTACAGTGTGGTGTTTTTTGTTTGGATTTATAAGTTATTGATTCCCAATAGACATTACTTTTCTAAAAGCGTTAATTTATCTACAGTCCCCCAGACAAATAAACAACTCACTGCAAAATCCATTTCTTCTTCTTCAGCTAATCAACAAATATTTAATAGACTAATTTATTTTTCTGTGATTTGTGTAGTGTCTAATGCTTTGTAATTCATGCTTTTAGTTTTAAATATTGATTGGCTGAGCTAAAGTTGTGAAATGTGTGCCTGTAAAATCATGCAACTTTGTGGACACATATATTCAAAATGAAACTTAAGCTTGCTCTATGAATTGGCATAGTGAAGTTAAGTAGACATTATTACGGTTTTTGTGTCAATCAAAACTGAAGCCTGGTTTATAATTTAAATCATTCCACCAAGGCATTGAAAATTGTTAGGATTTATTTATTTATAATGACCTGTTACTGTTGGACACAGAGACATTCCTGCACCAGCTTAAGCAGGTAACTATGCCATTGAGGAATTTGCAGTGCATGCTTCAATGAAAGCTGACAGCAGACTACAGATGTAGAATATATGATTGGCTTTCAAAATTTCCATTGAAAGGAAATAGCAGAAATAAATAGAAATAATGCCATATGGCATTATGCTCATGATGGAGATTTCTTAACTAGAATAAATGTGAAATGTTCTTCACATGTCAATCATATCTGCTGGCATCTACATAAATTTGAATAAAGTATCCTGGGTTAACTTTTACTATCTTGCAAAACAATGAATGTTTCTGCACTCAATCTGTTCCAAGTTGCTCTAACGCTTCATTCCTGGCAATCAACAGAGGTCATGAGTCTGATGCTGCTTTCCCATGTGCTTTGTATAATTTTTAAAATTTCTAATACAAAGTGTGATGCAATTTAGTGTGATTCTGATCTGCATAGTTTGAATCCTTGAGTGCTGACCCTTAATGAGTAAAGATTTCAAGGAGTATCTAAGGGTTACTGCAGTGTTACTAGATCCAGAAACTCAAGTGGTAGCAAAACTCTGACACTACAAGATCAAGAAGTTAAAAAAGGTTGGGGATCATGGCTTGCTTTTCAAAACAAAAACAGAAAGAGAAGAAAGAAATCAGGTATTTGAAAAACATTAAGCATGTTTTTCTTGGTATTTTGACAATATCTCTATTTTCCTTTAGAGTAAAGGTGTCTTTATAAAAAGAATGTGGGTGATGGTTGCATTCTTTCATGTGTGGTAAAGATGTATTGAATAAATAAGAGACCACAACAGATTTATAATCTGAGGTGTCAAAATAATACTGGAGAAACTCTGTTCAGGACTCTTCTTGTGGCTCAGTCTCTGGTCACAGAACAGCAATTCACCCCACCATGATCTGAGTGGGGTGAACACAATTCTTTTTCAATCAAGGACAAAAGTGAGGAAAAAAAAAATTATGGCTGAGCTGTCATAAGGACCTGAGATCCTAGTATAGGAGTATACAGCTCTCATTACAGAGGTTTTCTCTCGGTGTACTGTCCTCCTTGTTGGTAGATGGAAGACCCTAGAACTGGTGATAAATCACCTCTTAAATAAAAATTTTGATGCAATCATTCTAGTGATAGATATATTATTTTTTTTTACTAGATGTGGTCTTAACTTAGTCCTGGAGATTTATCAGAATATATAATAAAAATCTTATACATATGTTGCTCCTTTTGCCATGAATTTTGGCTGAAGGTTTCCTGTGGCCTTTGTGAAATAGGTGAGAGAGGACTCTTGCAGACTGCACAATGTTAACCATGCTTTCTTTATGCCCAGTGACTGAAGCAGTTACTGAAACAGATTGACAGAAAAGAAATAATATTCAGGATATTAAATCAGAGTCTTCACAGGTTATATAGCTACAGGATATTCTTACATGTAGATGCAGTGCTGAAATCCTGCACCATAACTGCAAAGAACTTGAGAGTTGGTGCTGCCTCTTTTACACATGAATGTATGGGTAAAGAGCACTCTAGTTATCCCACAGGAAGATACTTGCCAGCTGGGTGAATCTGAGACTTCTTTTTTTTTTTTTTCCTCCTTGCAGAGTGAGCATATATCCAACAGTTTTCAGAACTGAGTTCAAGGGACTTTTTTTTTATCCTCAATGTTCCCACATTATATGAGTCACAAATCCTCCTGCACTAAGCAGACAAAACACTTTCAGAGAAAAATTCTTTACATATTTTCTAAGATACACTGATTATATAAGAATAGTCAGTATCTTTATTCCATCATTCTTAATTAACAGTTTAAAAGTGATCTGTAGTTTCTTATGTACAATGCTTAGGCATGTATGTCTGGAAACTGATTTCAAGTTCAGTATAAAATGTAAGGAGCTGAGATTGAAGTCACTATTAATAGAAGAAGCATTACAATTGAAGACATCACACAGGAATTGTTGATCATTGAAGAGATGTTAATTCATGCACTTGCTGACTGGAAGAAAAGGTATTTGAAGCTGCAGGTGTTGAAACTTTAATTTCAAATGGAAGAGTGAGAGAGAGCAGTGCACTGGGGCAGTCCATTGGACAGGGCTTTGTGGAGGTGCATCTTATACTTTTCATCCCAGGTGACCACTCAAAACACATTAAACAACTGCGACATTTCACCAATTGCCAGCCACATACCTAACAGCAGCAAAGCAGCAGCAGGAATTCCTGCAATCCTTCTTTCTTTTGTTTTAAATATTAACTTTTGCAAATAAATGTATACAGAGAAAAGATATATCTGCAGTCTTTGGAACATTAAAAGGAAACATTGAAGGATATTAATTTATAAAATTGTGGACAAAAGTATCGGGAAAATTCCTTTTTTCTTTATATGATGTGCATTGTCTTTTCCTGGTTTGTCTGGTGTTTGATTACCTTTGGCCATTTGAGGTATGGATACATTTATTTACTTCATCATTTAACCTATGGTTAAACCTTTGGTTTAGTCCTTTGGTTCTTTTCTGCTCTGTTAAAGCCATCAGTACAAAAGCTACTCATCTGTGATGGTTTTTTAAAAGTATGAATAAAGTATCAATTTACAGAAAAAGAGTTGAAGGAATTATTCTGGTCGGGAAATTCAGGTTTTGTCATGTCATTTACATATCTGCCTTAAAGTTCTTAGTCTGTTGTTTTTCAGCTTTACTTGACTCCACGGAGCATTATAATGAGGGTGTATAAACAGAAAAGCTAAAACGTCAACAGAAAAATACTGGGTATAAAATATGGTTTCCATTAATATCTGTTCATCTAGAACTTAATAATTCTCAAA